AAAGAAGAGGGTTGAACTAGCAGGAATGAGGATACAAATAGCAAAACCCTAGAAAGGTTGTACTCGCTATAGAGCACCCCACTACAGGCTAGAGCATAAGATAACATTCTGACACACCCCCATAGCCAAAGTGGGCACCAGAGCAAACAAAGCAGTACAAGCTCAGGGTGGATCACAATGTCACCACACATTCTGAGCACAAGTTCAAGAAGCAATAGTTTAGAGTTCATAATTATGAGCAAAGCTAGTGGTAGTCACAACGGGCAAGTGAGGAGGAGGAGAGAGAGTGAGGGGAGAGGAGATAGGAGGCGACGACTGAAGTTGCAGACACACGGGCAACAGGAGGCAGACTGGCACAGCGGCTACCGGGCGAAGCCCCCGGAATACTAGAGTAACAGGCCCCGCGGCTAAAGTAGCGGCAGACGAGCAACGGACCCACGGGCGGCTGGCACAGCTGGCTACGACTGGGCTACCGGACAAAGTTGCCGGACTACAGGTGCTGCTGGCGACACGACGGCATCCTCCGTGCAACTTCCCCAAACAGTCCCACTTCCCCGACACACACCCACTGCTACACCCCTAGCTCCACTCCCACGCACCCCCCTTAAACCCTAAACCCCAGTCTCCCACACATCCACCCCCCTCAGCGACAGCTGCAGCAGTGGGAGACGAAGGAGGAGGAGGAGCAAAGGGAGGAACGAGGAAATGCCACCCCCATACTCACCACCCCCTACGTGCCACCCCCAAACCCTAACACTGACAGGGTGGGATGGCGGATAGGCAGGGTGGGATGGCGGCGCTCGCCCCCCTCCCCCAGGCCCCCGAGGGTCGCCTTGACAGGCGACGGGAAATGGTGCCGGGGCGCAAGGAGGGCGGCGGGGCCGCGAAGGTGGGGCGGCGAGGCCGCGACAGAAGGGGCGGCGGGGCCGCGAAGGTGGGGCGGCGAGGCCGCGACAGAAGGGCGGCGGGGCCGCGAAGTGGGGCGGCGAGCCGCGAGCGTAAGGCGGCGGGGCCGCGACGTAAGGCGGCGAGGCCGCGAAGTGGGGCGGTGGGGCCGCGACGGGTCCCCGTCGCCCGTCGCGGCGCCTCCAGAGGGGGACGCGGCGAACGACGGGGCAGAAGCCCGCCGCGCGCCTCGGGGCGCACAGCGGGCAGAGAACCGCCGCGCTCCTCGGGGCGCACGGCGGGCAGAAAACCGCCGCGCGCCTCGAGGCGCACGGCGGGCAGAAAACCGCCGCTCGCCTCGGGGCGCACGGCGGGAAGGAAAAATTGTAGCGGAAGCGTGGAGGTGGTAACCCACCCACAGGATCGATCCAAGGGGATCGACCTGCTCTGATACCATGACAAAATTAGAAGAAAGAAGAGGATTGAACTAGCAAGAATGAGGATACAAATAGCAAAACCCTAGAAGGGTTGTACTCGCTATAGAGCACCCCACTACAGGCTAGAGCATAAGATAACATTCTGACATTGATGTCGTGTGGGGTCCTGCGAGAACCAACTCGGTTTAGTACGGCTAGCGTCGGCGGTGTACAGGAGCGTGTTCATCGTGCAGCAGCGTCACGAGAGCATGCGAATGTAGGATGACGAAGCGTTGCTGGAGGAGGAAATGCGGAGGAGTACGATAGTTAGGCTATGCCGGGCGTTACCCCGATTCGATCGATGTCAAGGGATGAGGGAATAACCCCCAACTATGGCTACTTCAGATTCACTCCAGACAAGATCGTTGTCCCTAGGTCGCTAGAAGGACGGCACGAACTGTCGACGTGGACAGAATCGGTCGAGCTGCAGCTTGAGATCGCTCAGCTAAAGCGATTCATAGATGGCACCACCCCCATTCCACTAGCGCGTGCGCTAGGGCATCTCTCCTAGTTCCGCGCAATGCAATTGCTAACGTTCACCACCATTTCCCAATGCTGCTCCCCAACCGTACAGATCGCCCTTAAGGCGTGTCGCATGAAGGTAGATGCCGGCTATCAGGCATGGCAGTTTATTATGCGCACGTACATGGCGAAGGACGATTTGTACATCGGTCAGTTAAAGCAGGAGCTCACTAACCTCGAGATGGGAGAGCACGAGTCCGCTACATCCTATTGCAACCGTGCGCAGCAGATCCTAGTGAACCTGAGGATGGCCGGCGTAGATTACTGGCAGACGTCGTACATTACTTACGTTGTGAAGGAGTTGCCGCAACAGTACAACCTCTTGCGCAGGATGCTGAAGTTGCCGCAGGTGCGCAAGGAGTTGTCAGAATGTATTTGCTGTCTAGCCTGCAGTGGGGTACTCTGTAATGAGTACAACCCAATTTAGGGTGTTGTACTTGTATCCCAACTCTTGCTAGTGAAACCCCTCATTCTCCTTTCAACTTTCTCGACATTCATCAACCCAAAACCTAAGCTACTAAGACCTTCACTAGCCATGGCTCCCAAGCCTCGCTAGTATCTCAACAGGAGTTGGGCAAGGACACTCTCGCTAGCTACATCATCGAGGAGGAGTGTACGCTGGCGGCGGAGGGACGAAAGGACCAACTCTTTCCCCAGGCTAACCAGGTCTTTACCAAGAAGGGTAAGCCCCAATTCCAACAGACCTCATTTCCTTCCCCTCCCATTATGGCACAGCAACAGCAGCCTAAGAGTGGGGGTGGGGTTGGTGGGGAAGGGGAGAAGTGGAAAGGGGGTAAGGATGGCCAGCCAAAGGGGGGGAAAGGGGCCTTCAAGGGGAAGTGCTATGTGTGTGGAAAAATAGGGCATGTTGCTAAGTAGTGTCAACAGCGAGCGGATAAGGAGGCAGATACTGGTGGAGAGGGTTCTAGAGGCAGCAGCAGCAAGGCGGGTGATGGCTCTAAGGGGAGCGGGCAGTCATCATGTGCGATGGTGAAGCCCGTTGTAGAGCAGACTCCTCTCGTTGTGCTAGAGCCTGAGGCCGAGGAGGGCTTACAGGCTGTTGCAGCTGCTGTGAAGGCGAACCCGAGTGTCGTGCTGCTTGATTGCGGATGCTCCCATCATCTCATGGGAGATCGTTCTGCCTTTGTGGAGATGAGTAGCGACGGCAGTATTAAATAGGTTACTGGCTTCAACGGCGCTCTTCAGGAGGTGCACGGGCGAGGCACAGTCGCTCTTTTTGGAGAGGGGGGCAGGCGTGTCTTGGTGCCGGACGCGTCTCTGAAGTAGCTAAGGACGGCAGCCGCTATTTTCTGGTGCTGAAGGATCGCAAGACGCGGTACGTTTGGGCCTACCCTTTGGCCAAGAAGAGCGATGCATTGGCAGCGTTCCAGAAGTGGCTCCCGATGGCAGAGAGGCAGTGCAAGCCCATGGTGAAGGCGCTGCGCACTGATCGGGGTGGCAAGTTCCTGGGCCACGACTTCACGCTCTTCCTCGACAAGAAGGGGATCATCCACGACCTCACATTCCCGTACACGCCGGAGCAGAACGGAATGGCCGAGAGGGAGATGCGCAGCATTATGGAGGCGGTGCGAACGATGCTGTTGCACATGGGTGTGCAGCATAACTGGTGGCACCTGTCAACGGGAGTTGTGTGTTGGCCCCGTCCACGCTTGGGCGGAGCCGACTTCGTGGTGGGGTGTACGGAAGGTACAGCCGACTTGCAGCAGTGGGCGACGCCGACTTGGGCGAGCTGGTCGACGGGGTTGGTCGACTTGCACGGGGCCACTGCAATGCCGCCGACTTGGGAAGCCGGCGGCCGACTTCAACTGGTGGTCGGCAATGTGGCACATTGACCTGGAATTCGGCGCCAACTTGCCAGGTCACCGACTTGCCAGGTCATTGACTTGCAAGGTCACCGACTTGCAAGGTCGCCGGCTTGGGAGGTGGCCGACTTCAAGAGGTCAGTCTGGAAGTCGGCGCCGTTGTAGAAGGGGCGTCGACTTGGTGATGCCGACTTTGGGTAGCCGACTTGGGTGGTCGGTTGACAACTGCACTGGTCGACGTGGAGCTGGTCGACCATGAGTGACGTCGACCTGGAGCTGGTCGACCAGAGGAGTGGTCGACCTAGTGAGGTCGACTTGGTGTGGTCGTCGACGTGGGAGGTCGACGAGCACATAGAGGAGCAGCTGGTCGACATGGTTGCCCGGTCGACCAGGATACCTGGGTGACGAGGTTCTGTGAAGGAGTGCGACAGTTGCCCAGGCGAAGTTGGTGAGTCCGACCTCGGTGGTAGTATCCCGAGGTCGACGTGGCGGATCAGGTGGAGCCGTCAGCACGAAGATGACTTGGTACGTGCACTGTTCAGGTGACGAGGCTTAGCCCTCCAATCATCAACGAGCACCTGCGAAGTAGGTGCGCTGCTCTTCTACGGGAGCAACGCTAGCACGCCGTCAACCTGCAGAGTTGGCACGCTGTCGAATTTGCACTGCTGGAGCGTGGTCGACCAAGTCGTGCTGGAACGCGGTCGACCATGCTGTGGTGGCAGTCGACCGACCTGAATGCTAGCTCTGATGTAGTCTTGCCATGCCAACTTCATTGTACCATTGTTGTCAACTTTCTCTTGTGAAACCCTTGCCAATTCTCTCCGTGAACTAGCAAGTTGTGTGTGCACTAGGAAAACGACTAAGGGCCAACGAACGCAGAGATCACACAAGCACCCGTGTCTAGCCCGTAGTCTAGCTCCCGTTGTAGTAGTTATCTCCGCAGCACCTGGCGCTGTCGCAGGCCGTGTGGGTGCGCAACCGCGTGGAGCATGCCTCGCTGCCCTCTGGTGTGACGCCGTACGAGCTCGCCTTCCGACGCAAACCCGATGTCAGTATGGTGCGTGTTTGGGGCTGCATGGTGTAGTATATGGTGCCGCAGTCGCAGCGCGGGGGGAAGCTGGCGCCTAAGGCTCGCTGGGGGTTGCACTTGGGGGTGTCAGTAGCGAGCAAAGGATGGCATGTGCTGGACTTGGAGTCCAATCGCCTCATCACCACTGTGGAAGCAGTTTTCTATGAGACCATGTCCTTGGCAGGATGGAAGGCATGGCATCAGCAGGAGCACGGGGGGCGTCCAATGCCCTATGAGCCCCTTCCTTCACTCTTTCCCGGCACTCTTGAGGAGGAGGTGGAGGGGGAGGACGTGGTCGCACCTCCTGCTATGCCCTATGTCCCTGCCTCAGTCCCCACCCCACCTCCTCCTACTGTGTACCCTCGTGTGGTTCCTCCTACCCCTCCTCCTCCTCCTCCTCCTCCTCCTCCTCCTCCTCCTCCTCCTCCTCCTCCTCCTCCTCCTCCTCCTGTTATTCCCTCTCCCCTTCTACCCTCCATCCCTCCTGGCCCTGCTCCATCCTCCTCTTCATCTTCCACGACGCCGCCCGTTGGTGGTGCCGCCGTCTATGGTGATCACCGACAGGCAACGCCTTGAGACTGAGCAGCTGCAGGACAAGAGTAGCATGGATGGAGTGCAGCAGAGTGGGGGGAAGGAGACAGGTGAGCAGCAGATAGGGGAGCAGCAGATAGGGGAGCAGCAGATAGGGGAGCAGCAGATAGGGGAGCAGCAGATTGGGGACCAGCAGATGTTGGATCAACAGCCAGGGGAGCAGCAGACAGGGGAGCCGTAGACGGGGGAGCTGGAGATGTGGGGAATTAGAGATAGTGGTCGTGTGGTGGCTTCTGGGATGATCACTGCACCGCTGCGTCGCTCCACTGGCATCACTCGCTGTGTCCCGCCTGTTCACTATGCTTGGGCTGTAGTGGTTGAGCCGGCGGGTTTGGATGACAAGGAGGAGGACGAGGAGTGGACGGACCTGGACCCAGACGTGGTGGCCGACCCCGAGAGGCAGTGGGATATAGCAAAGATGACAGTAAAGGAGGCCTTGGGCTGCTGGAAGGGCGACAAGGTGAAGGAGGCGATGGATGAGGAGACGCATAGCTTGATTGAGCAGGGGACGTGGGAGTTGGTTCCGCGTCCTCCAGGGGTGAATGTGATGAAGAACCGCTGGATTTTGAACACCGAATTCCGACCAGATGGGATAGTGGAGCGAGGTTGGTGGTGAAGGGGTTTATGCAGGTGGCAAGGGTGGACTATGAGGAGACGTACGCCCCTATGGGGAGCTATGTGACGGCGCGTGTGCTTCTAGCGATCGCAGCTGCACTTGATTTGGACCTGATGCAGCTGGATGTGAAGAACACGTTCCTCCATGGCGTGCTGAACCGAGACCTTTACATGGAGCAGCCGAGCTACAACGAGGATTGGACTCCTCGTGTCTGTAAGTTGGTGAAGAGTCTGTATGGGCTCAAGCAGAGCCCAATGCTATGGTATGAGGCCTTGGATGGGGTGCTGCTTGGGGCTGGATGGAAGAAGAGCAAGGTGGATGAGGCTCTGTACTTCAAGAGTGGTGCTGAGGGGGAGATGTGCTGGCTGCTGGTTTATGTGGATGATTTGCTTGCTGCCAGCCGCAGTCAGAGCATGCTAGGGGAGCTTTGTGACCTGCTGCAGAGTGCGTTTCAGCTGCGGGAGATTAGCCATGTGGAGAAGTATGTGGGCTTGCAGCTGATTCGGGACAGGCCTACGAGGAGGCTGTGGCTGCACCAAGGGGCCTATGTGGACAAGGTCCATAGGCGCTTCTTTGACGGGGAGCAGCAGCTGCGAGTGCCTCGCACCCCTCTTTCCTCTGACCCTTTCAGTGTGCAGACCTTCGAGGATGTGGGATGGCAGTCTCGACAGGAGGAGTACAGGCAGAAGGTGTGATCCTTGCAGTTTGCGACCTGTACCACCCGTCCCGACATCTCGTTCGCCTGCAGCAAGCTGGGGTCGGGCCAGACTGTGCAGAGTGATCAGCACTGGAGGGAGTTGGACCGGTGCTTGGCGTACTTGGTGGGGAGCAGAGATGTGGCGCTAGAGTTTGGTGGTGGGCCGAAGTCCTTGGAGCTGGTGGGCTACGCCGATGCTGATGATGCGGGGGATAAGCAGAACAGGACCAGCATTGACGGCTATGTCTTCGTGCTTGCAGGTGCTGCTGTCTCTTGGGCGAGTCAGAGGATTCGTTGCGCCACCCTCTCCTCCACTGAGTCTGAGTACGTTGCTGCTGTGGAGGCTGGGAAGGAGGTGTGCAGGCTGCGCTTCTTGCTGGCAGAGTTTCAACTGTTGAGGAGTTAGGAGCCCACTACCCTCTTTGTGGACAACTCCTCCGCCATTTCAATGGTAGGTGGCATGGGGCTCAAGGGGAGCCTCAAGTACACGGAGCGTCGTCACATGTGGCTGAAGCACATGGTCAAGCCCAAGAAGCTGCAGCTGCAATACATCCCTATGAGCGAGCAGCCTGCTGACTACCTTACAAAGGCGTTGCATTTTCCCGCCTTCAGCCATTGCTTCGAGGCTGTGGGGCAGGTGAGGCTCTCGAACGAGGGGAGTGAGACCTAGACACTCCATGATGGTGATGGTGCCATGGCCTATCCATGGCTGGTGTGGGGCGTGTTTGCACTTTAAGAGTGCTTTGTTTGTGTGTTTAGTCCCTTTCTTTTGGTGAGTATGCGTGTATGCATGCCCTGTGATTATAAAGCGCCTTGCTATAGTATGGCAGGGGAGTGTTAGAGGGCCCTACGACAGCAAGGGCCTTCGACGACTTGGCAAGACAACTACGCTAAGACGGGCATTGAATGTGACGAGAAGTAAGAATGGAATGAATGAACTATGAAACAGTTCGGTACAAGTACTAACCCTAATTGGGTTGTACCCCTTATGGGCTACCCCATTACAACCTACACAAATGTATAAGCTATAATGTTCTAACACACCCCCATAGGCAAAGTGGGGGAGAACAAGTGGTCACAAGACCAGTCAAGCAAAGCAAAGCAAGCTCAGGGTGGATCACAAAGTCACCACACAGTCCGAGCACAACGACAAGGCCACAAGGCCAGTTCACATGCAGGAGTACACATATATCTATAGAGCTAGACAAGCAAGAGCAGGTATATATATGTGACAGTACAAGCAAGGTCAAGAGGAGAGCAAGTGAGGCAAGACAGGTACAAGACCCAGCTGAGTGCAGAAGCGCTGATGGTCACAAGGCGCGAGTGCCTTGGTGAACACGTCAGCAGTGTTGGCCTCAGAGGCCACGTACGCAAGCCGCATCGCCACGCTGCTGTAGCTCACGCGCAAGGAAGTAGCGGAGAGCAATGTGCTTCGTTCTGTGCTCCAGACGCTGCTCTCAACACAAGGCCAGCATGGCCTTGTTGTCTACGTACAGCACTGGAAGAGAACGAGGCGGCTCTCCAAGGTCAGTCAGCAGGTAGGTGAGCCAGCGAAGCTCCTGTGCAGCCATGGCCCCGGCGTAGATCTCAGCCTCACAACTGGAGCTGAGGACAGAAGACGAGCGAGTAGCCCGCCACGAGACAGAGCCGGAACCAAGACTGAAGGTGTAACCCTGTGACGACCGCTGCGTAGCTTGGTCGTCAGCCCAAGAAGCGTCCGCGTGCCCCGTAAGGACCACTGGACTGCGCCCTCCAAGCACTAGCCCCATGCCCGACGTACTGCACAGGTAGCGCAACACCCTCTTCGCTGCAGCCATGTGCTCTGGTCGGTGTCTCCCAGGAGCAACATAGCGTGCAAGAATACTAAGAGGGTATGTAAGGTCAGGCCGTGTGCAGGTCATCAGGTACATGAGGCAGCCAACAAGCTCTGGGTACGGGCCACTCGACTCTACGGACTCATCCGAAGGCAGAGCTGAGAGCGAGTGGCGAGTAGACAGAGGAGTGGCCTGAGGCGAGGAGTACGTGAAGCCGAAGCGCTGAAGGACCTGCTGCACCATGTGTGACTGAGTCAAGGTAATGGTGCGACGTGCTCTGTCCTGAGTGATCTGCAAGCCAAGATAGCTGCACAGTTCACCCAGGTCTGTGCACGTGTGTCTCTTCAGTAGCTTGGACTTCACGTAGGCGAGTCCAGCAGTATCCGCTGTGGCAAAGACCAAGTCGTCGACGTACACGAGGATGTAGAACGGCGGCAGAGAAGTGTCGGTGCGCAGAAACAGCGACGGGTCAGCAGTAGAGGGAGCAAACCCAAGAGCCGCAAGCGTAGTCCTCAGTGTGTTGTGCCACTCACGGGGTGCCTGGCGGAGACCGTAGACTGGCCGTCGGAGGCTCCACTGGGTGCCAGGAGGGAAAGTCCCAGTGAAGCCAGGTGGACGGCGCAGCCAGATCTCCTCGTGCAGGCTACCCTGCAAGAACGCAGTGCTGAAGTCAAGAGAGTGAAGCTCGTAGTCGCGCTGAGCGGCTATGTGCAGCAGCACTCGAAGAGTGGTCATCTTCGGGGTGGGAGAGAAGGTCTGAAAGTAGTCAACTCCCTGCCGCTGACTGAAGCCACGAGCGACGTATCGCGCCTTGAAGACAGGTGGAGAGCCCGGCGGCCGCTTCACCCTGAAGATCCACATGCCACTGACGATGTTCGCCCCAGGAGGGGGAACCGCGTCAACGTAGGTGCCTGTGGACTTCCAGGAAGCCATCTCTGCATCCATAGCTGCCTGCCACTGAGAGGAGTAGGGACCCTCTACGGCCTCCGCGTAAGAGCGCGGAGTCGGGATGTCAAGTGCATCCGGGTCTCCCTCAGGGGCAAGTAGTACGGACGCGAGATGAGGTGAAGCAGCAGCGAGACACTGGAACTCCTCCTGCCTGTCCTCAAGGACGTCCGTGCCAAGAGCACACGCACCCCCGACGGACGGAGGACAGACAGACGGAGACTCAGCAACAAGACTGGCAGCGTAGTCCAGACGACAGCGAGCAGCAAAGTCAACGAGCTCAGCAACAAGCGCAGACGCAGAAGTGGACTCAAACGAGGGGTCAGTGACGATAGTAGCAAGGAGCCGCGTGACAGTAGGACTAGCAGCATGAAGAGAGTCCGACTCCGGGTCGGCAAGCTCAGGAAGAGAGGACGCAGGAGGAGAAGTGGACGGACGCAGAGACATCCGTTGCATGCCAGGGACAGGAGGAGGACGCTGACGCGAACCGGGACCACTAGCGCGAGCAGCACAAACAGGCGACGCGGGACGAGACGCAGGCTCACGACGCTTAGCAAGACCTCCAGTAGGACCAGTGTAAGGAGAGGGAGCAGGCAGCGGGGAGGTGGGCTCTAACAGTGACTGTGACTGGACAATCGGTGGACACTCAACAGGAGGAGAAAGACCAAGAACCTGCTGCAGGAGCAGAACGAAGTATGGCCGAGGCCGCGCAGGGACTCCAGACACAGCAGGGATAGCACCAGCACCCTCAGCGGCAGCACCAACGCCAACAGCACCTCCAGCGGCAGGACCACCACCAGCACCAGCTGCAGGACCACCGCCAGGACAGACAGCAGCAGTCTCAGCACCAACACCCTCAGCAGCTCCAGCTCCTGTAGGACCCGCAGGCTTAGCAGCTCCGGGACCGGCGGCACCAGCACCCTCAGCGGCCGAAGAAGCTCCAGCTCCAGCAGTACGCCTCAAGTGGCGAGCAAACCACTCGCACAGCTCCTGTGGAGAGAGTGGCTCCCGCCGAGACGGAGCACCCGGAGAACCTCCAGGCTCAGTACCGCCAGACGCCACAAAGGGAGGTCCAGCGGCCGCAGGCTCCGCACCTCCAGGCTCAGCAGCCCCAGACGCAGCACCCCCAGGCTCAGCAGCTCCAGACGTAGCACCCCCAGACTCAGCACCCCCAGGCTCAGCAGCTCCAGACGCAGCACCCCCAGGCTCAGCACCCCCAGGCTCAGCACCCCCAGTCGCAGCACCCCCAGACTCAGCACCCCCAAGCTCAGCACCCACGCGCACGGCACCCCAAGAGTCAGCACCCCTAGGCTCAGCACCCGCAACAGTACCAGAGTCACCATCAACCTCGACCGGCTCGACTGCGTCAACCTGGGACACACCAGAAGGGGCAGGACCCTGAGGGGGAAGGGGGTCGACCGGGGGGGGACCTGGTACTAGGAAGTGCGGCGGCGGGGGGAGGGAAGGTGTGCGGTAGGGGAAGAGACGGTAGAAGGGGACCGACTCGTCGAACGTGATGTCCTGGGAGGACACAACACGACGAGAGGAGGGGTGGTAGAACTGCCACCCTGGAGCGTCAGGGGGGAAGCCAAGGAAGACACAGGGAGCAGCACGGGGGGACAGCTTGTCCGCAGACAAGTCGCGGACAAACGCCCGAGATCCCCAGACACGGAACGCAGACGCATCGCCGACCTTCCCAGTCCACAGCAGAGCTGGGGAGGTACGGACCTTCCCCGGCCACGAAACCCCGGGGTGAAGGTTGATCTGATGCGCCGCGTACCAAACCGCAAACGGCCACAGAAAATGGGGGGCAGCCGCATGCATCATGGAGGTATGAGCGACGTCCATGACCATGCCAATGCGGCGCTCAGCAATCCCATTTTGCTGCGGAGAGTCCGCAAGCGTAAAGGTCTGGCGGATGCCTCGTGCACGACAGTAGGCTCGCAGAAGGCCAGAGGAAAACTCTCCGCCTCGGTCAGAGTGCAGACGCAGAACAGGAAAGTCCGAGCCGAAGCTCCTCTTGAGCTGGAGACGAGCTGCGCGGATCCAGTCGATCAGCACCTCAGTGACATCACCCTTGCTGCGCAAGGGGAAGACTGTGGTGTAACGCGAGTAGTCGTCAACTACCAGCAGGACGTAGCGCTCGTGACCCTGCCCACGGACGCGGGCCGGGCCCCACACGTCCATATGAAGCGTCTGCAGAGGAGCCTCCATCGGAGGAAACTGGGAGGAGTGGGGGGCAGCACGAAGCCGCCCCTCGACACAAGGGACACAAGAAGGTCCAGGCCCCGAAGGAAGGGGAGGGAGAGACCGGGGGAGACCAGAGACAAGGACACGGGAAGCCATGTCCCTAAGACGAGGCAAGGAGGGGTGGCCAAGACGGTGGTGCCACAGGAGAGTCTCCTGAGACAGGAGGCGACACGAGCAGGGGGCAGACTCAGGACCAGACTTCGACGCAGCAGCAAACACCTGACCCGACGTAGCTACCTGGCCAGACGCAAGGACAGGAGGAGATGCAGTGGTCAGGGTGTAGAGACTCGACCCCGGCCGACGTGAAAACGTGGCCAGGTGTCGGCCTGTGCGGGCGTCCGAGCAGTGGGTCACCCGCTGGCTCGTAGGAGTAAACTGGTGAACCCCCGCATCCTGCAGGTCAGCACCACTCACCAAGTTCGTCGAGAACGAGGGGAGGTACAGACCAGACAAGGTGCCCGAGGGGGCAGCCGGACACGGGAGGACAGTGGAGAAGTGAGAGAGGACAGGACCCCCAGAGGGGTCAGCCAGGGAGACCGCAACCGGCCGACCAAGCGGCGTGAGTGTGGTGCGGTCTCGAAAGTAGGAGCGAGAAGCCCCTGAGTCAAGTGTGAAAGTGAGGGAGGCCGAAGTCGACGCAGTACCTGAGAGCGCAGTCTCACCAGTACCTGAGAGTGCAGACGCACTGGCACCTAGAGCAGCAGCCTCACAAGCACCTAGCGCAACAGTACCAATGCCCGGGTCGGGCGGGAAACACTGGTAACAGTCACCCTCCTCACTAATAGTCACAGCATACATGGCAGGAAGGATAGCATCAAAGTCAAGATCAAAGATAGCTACACCAGCCCTAGACAGCTCTCCCCAGCGGGGAATCTCACTAGCCTCGGGGAACTGCTGACGCCAAGCGTCCGTCAGGCGGCCAAAGCAGCGCTGGGTGGGGTGGGCACCCCCACACTGCTCACCCGCGCGGTCGCCGGAACGAAGGACGTAGGCGCACGGACCAGTACCCCCACCCCTCTGACGCTGCGTGTACCACTCACGGAGCTGCTGGGGCGGGGGGATGTCCCGCGAACGCTGCTGCTGTTGCTGCTGCTGCTGGCGCTGACCACTACCAGAGCCGCTCCGCTACGGGGCACCACCCCGACCAGCTCCACCCCCTCCGCCACCGCCGCCTCCACCTCCGCAACCACCGCCGCCTCCACTCTCACCGCAGCCGCCGCCACCGCCGCCACCACCACCACCGCCTCCGCCACTACTCCCACCGCCACCTCCACTCCCTCCGCCGCCTCCACCTCCACCTCCACCGCCCCCTCCAGCTCCACCCGCGCCCTTGCCCCCCTTGCCCTTGCCAGGGCGGCGTCTCCCGCTAGGGGCAGACGCCGCGCCGACCGACTCAAGACCAAGCAGGTCCGTAGCAGCAGAAGAGGCAACAGAGGGCAGCAGGGGGGAAGGAGAACACCCCTCAAAGATGGGGGTGCGAGGGTCACCACGAGAGGCTCCTACAGCGACTATGCTCTTCTCCGCTGGTAGGAGGGCCTTCTCGAGGAGGTCGACAGTGAGAGTGGTGGGACAGACTGAGAGGAAGTGGTCCCTGACTACGCGAAGGGAGTCAGGGAGGCGTGTGACTATGTAGTAGAGAGTGATGTACATGGGGGGGGGGTTCTTGGCGCAGAACTCAGCAGGAAGGGCGGCGCGGTAGCGAGTGTCACGAGTGCGGAGGTGCGTAATGAGGTCAGCGACAGTGGGAAAGGCAGTGAGATCAGGAAAGAGGTACGGTAGCATGAGACGGCTCAGTGCAGCAGTGGCAGGGGAAGAGTAGCGCGCAACTACAGCGTCGTACAAGGTCTGAGCACTCTTGTACTGACTAAAGTGCGCGCGCTCAGTGGTGGGCAAGTGGCGACGCACAGCAAGACGTGCAGCAGCATCGCGGGTGGCCCACTGAGAGCGAACAGTGGGGTCAGCATCAGCAGCAGGGGCAGGAGAGGCGCCAGAGGCGAGGTCAAAGAGGGAAAGACCGTCCGCCCTATCGCACTGTAAGAACAGCTGCAGGTCGTCGACCCAGACCTCAAAGTCAATGGATCGACCCTCAGCGTCAAAAGCGAGGACACTAGGGGTAGCCATGACGACGACAGTGGAGCAGTGCAAGCAGTAGGGGAAGGGCACACAGTGACAGCGGTATGGTGCTCACCGGACAGGGCAGGTCGGGCGGCTCGGCGGTAGGGCGGCCCGGCGACTCGGCGGCTCGGCTGCTGGGCGGCCTGGCGGCAGGGCGGCTCGGCGGCAGGGCGGCTCGGCTGCTGGGCGGTTCGGCTCCTGGGCGGCTCGGCGGCAGGGCGGCTCGGCTGCTGGGCGGCTCGGGTGCAGGGCGGTTCGGCGGCTGGGCGGCTCGGCTGCACTGCGTCTCGGCGGTCCGGCGGCTCGGCGGCTGCTGCTGGGCGACTCGGCTGCTCCGGTACCGGGCGGTGTGGCGGTCGGCTGCTTGTGCGGCGGGGCCGCGTTGGTTAGGGCGGCGGGGCCGCGTCTGCTTGGGCGGCGGGGCCGCGTAAGTGAGAGCGGCGGGGCCGCGTTGGTGAGGGCGGCGGGGCCGCGTAGGAGAGGGCGGCGGGGCCGCGTAGGTGAGGGCGGCGAGGCCGCAAGGCTCAGGGCGGCGGGGCCACGATAGTAGGGCGGCGGGGCCGCGAGGGAAGGGCGGCAGGGCCGCGATAGCAGGGCGGCGGGGCCGCGATCAAAGGGCGGCGGGGCCGTGATCAAAGGGCGGCCCACAGGGGAACCTGCTCTGATACCATGAGAAGAATAGAACGAGAAATGAATGAACTATGAATGAAGTGAGTACATATAGGAAACCCTAATTGGGTTGTAACCCCTATGGGATACTCCACTATAGCCTACACAACAGCATAAGCTATATGAAGTTCTGACACACCGCGTTGGCGTGCAGTTTACCACTCACGAAGCTGCTGAGGGGACAGGGTCAGACCACTCCGCTGCTGCTGCTTGCGCTGACCACCACTGGCGCCACTCCTCTGCGCAGAGTCGCGACTCGCTCCACTATCGCCGCCTCCGCCGCTGCCGCCTCCGCCGCCTCCGCCGCCTCCTCCACCTCCGCCTCCTCCACCACCTCCGCCGCCTCCGCTCCCCCCGCCACCTCCACCGCCTCCGCCGCCTCCACTGCTACTGCCGCCCCCGCCACCCCCGGCACCACTCCCACCACCACCCCCACTCCCTCCACCGCCTCCACCACCACCTCCACCACCCCCTCCAGCCCCTCCAGTGCCCTTGCCCCCCTTGCCCTTGCCGGTGCGGCGTCTCCCGCTCGGGGCAGACGCAGCGCCGACCGACTCGAAACCAACGAGGTCGGCCGCAGTAGCAGAGGCAATAGAAGGCAAGAGGGGGGAGGGAGAACACCCCTCAAAGACGGGAGTGCGAGGGTCACCACGAGAGGCTCCTACAGCGACTATGCTCTTCTCTATCGCTACGAGGGCCTTCTCGAGGAGGTCAACGGTGAGAGTGGTGGGGCAAACAGAGAGGAAGTGGTCCCTGACTAAGCGAAGAGAGTCAGGGAGCCGGGTGACTATGTAGTAGAGGGTGATGTACATGGGGGGGGGGTTCTTGGCGCAGAACTCAGCAGGAAGCGCAGCGCGGTAGTGAGTGTCACTTAGGCCCCACTTCGGTCGAATGTGTGCGCCGTCCCCTGCTCCTCCTCCTCCTCCGTCTCCCGCTGCTGCAGCTGCCGCTCAGGGGGGTGGGTGTGTGGGAGCCGAAGGAGTGGTGCTAGGGGGGTGACGTGGGAGTGGAGTTAGGGGTTTAGCAGGGGGTGTGTGTCAAGGGTGTGGGTCAGTTGGAGGAGGTTGTGTGGAGGTTGCTGTTGTGTCGCCTGCAGCGCCTGTAGTCCTTAGCCCTTGCTTCGGTAGCCAGTGAGCTTGTTGCACCAGCCGCCAGTGGGTCCGTTGCTCCTGCCGCTTGTCTTAGCCGCGGAGCCAGTCACTCCAGTAGTTCGTCGCCCTTGCTTCGGTAGCCGTCAGCCGCTCCTGTGCCCGTACCTGTGCAGCTTCAGTCGTTGCCTCCCATCTTCTCTCCTCCTCCTCACTTGCCCTCTATGATAGCCTCTAGCTTTGCTTGCCATTGTGAACCTGCTCTATGACTGTGTGATCTGCTGATTACACCCCACTTTGGTTATAGGGGTGTGTCAGAATGTTATTATCTAGCCTGTAGTGGGGTGCTCTATAGCGATACAGCCCTGTTAGGGTTTGCTATATGTATCCCAAATGCTGCTAGTGAAACCTCCTCCTTTCTTCATTTCTCTCTTGCCTAGCTAGCTAAACCCTTGCTATGGCTCCTCACTATGCTCACTATCTTAACACGTTGGGTGTTTGTTGTATAGACGATGTGGTTTGGGTTTTCTAGTGTGTGAGTTTTGGTGCATGTTTGGTTTATTTGTTGGTTGTTGGTGTGCTCTTTACTTTATTATGTGGTTTTTGGAGATTAAAATAGATTGTGTTTTGGCTGAATTCGGTAGCATTTATGTATGCAGTTTATGGAAATGGCCACGCGACGCTTGGCGCAGTATGGTATGTCGGTTCTCTTTTAACCTAAGATGTATGGTGTTTTCGGCTACGCGATGGATATTAGGTGAGGTGTGCGACGCAATGTCGAGTACGCGATTCGGAGGTAGTGCCGGGGCGCATGCATTTTCCGTGAACATGTGGGCGCGGCACGTCCGTGGGTGGAATGACAGCCGTTGCAACATTTCCGTCACATTTGGTCACTGTTATTCGGTTTGTCAACTAGTATGCAGAAAGTCAATTTTCCATGCCGTTGTTTTTTGGACACTCATCACAAGAAATCCACAACTTGGTTGCAGAAAAACCATTGGACACTCAAAAACGCAGATTTCCTTTTCCGCGATGTCGAACGATGTAGCTTCGGGCACCAAAGGTGATTCGCGACCGGGAAATTCGAGTTCGGGAAATTTGCGATCGGGAAATTCGGAGCTGACTTGAAGGCCCGCTGTGATGATATTTGTGTTGAGTTTCGCGACTGATGGTGCGAGTTCCGCTGGTAGGCGGTTGGTGAGAAAACCGTCGCCGTTAAGGACCCCGCATTGGAGAGAGATGTAAGGGTGAGTAGTAATTACTACCGTGTTGCGTGCCATACCAGAAACATAACAAAATGAATTATGAGGAGTCAAACACAATCCTGATGTACCGTAAGAACATAAGATAGCTTTTCCTGCTACAACTAATACTATTGCTGCAACTTATACTAGCTCGAAGCTGGAGAGGTCGAATTGCGCACAAACTGGATTGCATGGAGAGCAGAAAGCAGAACCTGAAGTTCGAGATGGGTGGGTGGAACCTGAAAGCAGAACAGGTTTCTGTTCTTTTTTATTTTAATAGAGGGCTTTTCACTATATCAGGGATACAGCAAAAGGGGCCATAGTCGTAACTATTGTGAGAGGGGGGCAATTACACACAGTGAGAGAGCCGCCCCTCGTGGGATTCTATGGCGGTTTAAATTTGGCCCTCCGATCCGTCCAGATGGACAGGATCGCTTCGCGCCACGTAAGTTTGCTGACCGTCCGAGTGCTGGCATTTTCCAGCACTGCGACCTCATCCTTGGCCAGGTGACACTTGGCCACGTGTCTCTTTTTTGCCCACGCCTTCTTCCGCTTAATGCCCTCATATGTCCGCGCATGAAGACAGAAAGCCGTCACGACTCTCCTCATCACTTTCCGGCACTAGAACTTCCGCCCCCGAAAAACCGCATTGCAGCGCTCCACCCAGATCTGGTGGAACGTGATCGCCGACACGGTCAGCTCCAGAAAGCCAGATGCCGTGCCCCCACGCTGAAAAAGCAAATCGCCAAGTGTTCTCACCCTCCTCGTTGGATTGAACAGGTTTCTGTTCTGTATTCTCTCCTTCAGCTGCCAAGTATTCCCATCTCCTCTCACCTTCCCCTTCCTCTCTGTACATTCAGAGGAATTTCCTTCTTTCAAGTCACACGCTGATTGTACAGCGGGACAAGAGGAGGGGAGGGAGGTGTTGGTTGAAACGCGTTGACGACAGTTTTATCGAGTTGCACATCGGTGGGAAGTGTTGGGCTGAAAAAGCCCTTAGGATCTTTGCAGGGGTGAACTCTGGGTAGAGTTGGTGTAGTAGCGGAAACGTTAATAAAGAGTTGTGAACCACCTTGCGCTAGTACGTGAGGGAAAAGTAAGTTGATTAAAGCAAAGAGATACTGGATTATATAAGAGTACAAAGGATACGAAGAGATACGGTTATAACTACTTTATTGTTGATGTTGCGGTTCGATACAGTGACGACTCGGGCAACTGCTCTGTAGCGAGTCAGTTGTGTGTCCTTACTGTCGCGTTGTACTTGTCAGGTCAAAGGCCGCTGACCATTGAATTTCGCGTAACCTCCAGCGGTTACTTCAACCTCCGAGGGCTGACTCGCTGGTGCCTCGATATGTTTTGCTTCGCTTGTGCCTTAGTGTTCCGACACGACAGAGGTGCTTAGGACCGATTGTTTCCAACACTCCCCTTTGCTTCTGGAGTGTCGCTGACGTGGCTCTGTCTAGTTAGCAGCATGCAGTGTTCAAACTTCTGCTTTCCGAGCTTCTTGGTCAGGTAGTCAGCTGCCATCTCGGACGTGGGACAGTGTGACAGCTCGAGCCTTCCCTTCTCGATCTCGTCCTTCATGAAGAAATATCGCTGGGTGATGTATTTCATCCTGTTCGCGAAGCCGTTCTTGTTGGCGATGCGAATTGCCGATTGGTTGTCGCAGAATAGGGTAAAGCTGGGTAACTCGGCTAACTTTGCTTCTTCCAGCAACTCGCGAAGGTAGAGTCCTTCCTTGGTGGCTGAGCAGAGTGCAATATATTATGCTTCAGCTGACGAGAGAGCGATTAATTCGTGCTTGCTCGATTGCCAGGAGATAGGTCCAATAGGTTCGAGGCGGTAGATGTAGCCAGTGCGGGAGCGCCTATTGTCGTAGTCGCCAGCGTGATCAGCGTCGACGTAGCCGTTTAACTTAGTCGGTGTAGTTGCGTTCTTGTAGTAAGTTAGGCCGATCGTTGGGGTGCTGACGAAGTAGTGAAGATGGCGGTCGAGCTCCGCCAGATGTTCTACTTCAGGCTTCTTGAGGTAGGTGGTGAGCTGGCTTACGGAGTATGAGAGATCGGGGCGACAAGTGACGGCTGCAAAGAGAAGACATCCCAGCTTCTTCTGGTAGTCTCGTATGCCGGCAGGCTTAAGTGGAGCGGAGCTTCCTTTGTCGTTCCCTGCCATGTATCGGTATGGCGTGGAGATGGCTGTCGGTGTGAGCGTGAAGCGTTTGGCGATAGTGTCAGCAGATTTCTCGGCGCTGAGGTAGATCGCGTCCTCCTCTTCTCGGATGTTGAGGCCGAGGTACTGAGTGGCAGTAGATGAAACTTTGAGCGTGAGATCCCATTGCAGCTCCACTTCGAACCAGGTAGTGATGCCGTCTGTTGAGCCGATGTAAAGGAGATCGTCCACGTAGACGATTAGTAGGATGTAGTCGTTGTTTTTAGTGAGCCGGTACATGCCTTGATCGTGCGGTAGTTGCTTGAAGCCGATGCGGATGAGGCGAGCGTGCAGGTACTGTTGCCACAGTCGCGGAGCCTGCTTGATGCCATAGAGTGACTTGAGTAGCTGGCAAACTTGGTTGGGTTCTGTGTGGGAGCCGTGCAGTAGCTCGACGAATATTTCTACATCAACAGGTGCGTAGGGAAACGCGTTCGCGACGTCGATTTGTCGCAGCTTCTTCTTCTTCATGGCGGCAATTGCGAGGAGAATGCGTAGTGAGGTGTGGCGGCTAACCGGAGTGAAAGTTTTCGTGAAGTCTCGTTCGCGCTCTTGGTTGAAGCCGCGTACAACCCAACGGGCTTTGAATTCGTCAATGGTGTCGTCAGCCTTTGTCTTCACACGGAAGACCCACTTCCCGGTGAGTACTGTCTTATTCCGTGCCACGCCGATAGGAACCACTTTCTACGTGTTGCGTTCCTCCAGTGCCTTCAGCTCCTTGTCCATGGCTTCGTGCCATTTTTCCTTATGTTCCCCCCCTAGAGCCTGTTGAACTGTCGCAGGCTCTTTAGGAGTGGCGGTGCCGTGGACTGCGGTGACGAGTCCGAGAATCTGCAGTCCACTCTGTGAGTAGCGGGGAAGATTTACGTCCTCGGGATAAGCTGCTTCATCTCCCGCTTCTGGATCAGGTGTGAATTTCGGTCCTACTCGTTCTGCTTCGTTGGTGTTGACTGTCGCAGGTGTTACGTAACCGTTGTCGGTGAAATGGTAGAAGTTTTCGGCGTTGACACTTTCGCGAGGGTTATCTTCGTCCATGGGAACGTCCACGAAGCATAATGGAAGAGGTCCGGCTTCTTCTAATGCGTTGTCCACATTCTGCTCGTCCTAGTCAGCTTCGTCCGCTACTGAGGCGAAGGCTCGGTCACCACGAAAGCCACCTGTGGGATCCTGGTCTTCTTGCAGGTTGGCAAGGTATGTCTGGAGCGTGAGTCGTTCGTAGAAAATTACGTCACGTGCTGCTACTGTTTCCTTGGAGTGGACGTCAAAGATTTTCCACACGTTGTAGTCCCCACTGTGCTCGTTGAGAAAATCGGCCCGCTCGTGCTGTTGGGGGTCGGTACTATACCATGCATCCGAATACTCGTAACATTTTTGTGTGTCAGAACATTATAGCTTATACATTTGTGTAGGCTGTAGTGGGGTAGCCCATAAGGGGTACAACCCAATTAGAGTTAGTACTTGTACCCAACTGTTTCATAGTTCATTCATTCCATTCTCACTTCTCGTCATGGTATCGAGCAGGTTCCCGAGTGGGAATACTGCCTAGGGCCCACCACGAACTTTTTTCCTTCCCTGCCCAGAGCGTGCTTAGCTCCTAACCCGAGTAGCGCCTTGAGCCGCCTTAGTGGCCCCTGTTGGCCGCCCTTGCTGCCCCTCGAGCCGCCCTATACGGCCTCGCTTAGGCCGCTTACGGCCCCGTCGCGGCCTCGCTACGACCCCGCTTAGGCCCCGCTACGGCCGCGTCGGACCTGCTATGGCCCCGCTTAGGCCCTACTACGGCTCCGCTACGGCCCCGTCGGCCCCGCTTAGGCCCCGTCGGCCCCGCTACGGCCCCACTACGGCCCCGCTACGGCCCCGTCGGCCCCATGGCCCCGCTTAGGCCCCGCTACGGCCCCGCTACGGCCCCGTCGGCCCCGCTTAGGCCCCGCTACGGCCCCACTACGGCCCTGCTTAGGCCCCGTCGGCCCGCTAGGGCCCCGCTTAGGCCCCGCTTTGGCCCCGTCGGCCCCGCTTAGGCCCCGCTACGGCCCCGCTACGGCCCCGTCGGCCCCGCTACGGCCCCGCTACGGCCCCGTCGGCCCCGCTACGGCCCCGCTTAGGCCCCGCTTCGGCCCCGTCGGCCCCGCTTCGGCCCCGCTACGGCCCCGTCGGCCCCGCTACGGCCCCACTTAGTCCCCGCTTCGGCCCCGTCGGCCCCGCTTAGGCCCCACTTAGGCCCCGCTACGGCCCCATCACAACCCCGGTACGTCGCCCACTTCGGCCCCGTCGCCACCGCGGCCCCGCCAACCCTTGCGGCTTGCCGCCACCTTCGGCCCCGCTGCCACCTGCGACCTCGCCACCACCAGCGACCCCGCCGCCCAGCGCC